TAGCTTCTATATTAAATCAAAAAATTTAGATTTAGGAGAAAAGGATCTAAGAACTTAAATGTAGGATCCATCTTAAAGTTTAATAATCAAAGGTAAATATTATTTACATTAATGGGGAGAGCAAGTGTCACGAAACCTTACCTATTAAAAATATGATAAATTAAAAAGGAAAAAAAAATTAATATTACAAATAATCAACATTTGATATTCAAAACATTGTTTAGATAATACACTTAATTTGACTTTTCTATTTCCATTAGCTGATAAATTTCTTATAGTCGAACATAATATCGATTCTTTATTTAACTTTTATTAATTTTAATTACTTTTTTGATTAAACTTCTTAATAGCAAATTTACTTTGATAAATCTTATACGAAATATTTTCCCTTTGAAATTAGGAGAATTAATATTGCTCACATAAACTATATCAGGATATCGATAAATTTTAATTAATTCAAAATATTTTAGAATTACATCATAATTAATATCAGCAATCAATTTCAGAATTATAAGCAATTAGCACTTCATAAGAATTACTAGAACATTATTTTATTAACACTGTTATTTCTAAAGATTAAAAAGAATATACATAAAAACCTTTAATACACACATTCTTTTATTTAGACATATTTTATTATTCTTATTTCGAAAAAGATGTATGTCTCATTTTTAATAAAGAGTTAAATGAATTCTAGAAATTAAGGAAGATTCTTGAATGAGATGACGAAGTAAATTATAGCTTCTTAGCAAAAAAATTCTCTTTTTAATGAAATCTTCTAAGAATCCTTTATTGAAATTAAAATAAACCAATGTGATTTTTATATAGAAATCATAGACAATTGATTTGTTAAACAGATTGAAAGTTTTAGAAACTTAATTTTCATTAAGGAAATCATTAATAAAACATCCCAAAGATGTTTTACATAATCAATTTAATTGGATAAATTTTTATTTTAATACCTTAAAAAATTTCCTAATAATGATTTAATGAAATTTGAATGGTTTATGAATTTTTAATTAGGCCTTTTTTAGATGTTTATTCTATTTAATCCATTTATACTATGATTATAATATTTCATAAGTTAATTAAAATTTATCATACATTTTAAATACGATTCATATAATAAAAGTTCATCATTATTTAGAAAATTAAGATACTTAAAATGCCAGTCCAGAAATTTACATTTTAAGTACTAATATAATATGATATTTTTATGTATAATTTGAGATGCTTTACTAAATTGCACAATTATCCTTTTCTTGGTCTTCTTTTTATGATTCAAATTCTTTTTTTCTTTATCATCAAGAGAAAAGTCGTTTATATCGGGTGGACTCCAAGGATCAATTATTATAGTTAATCTATTCAATTTTTATCTATTTAATATATATATCTAAAATTTATTAAAAATAAATTAATTATTTTAGATTAGAGTAGAGTAGACCACAAAAGGTTAATAATTTTCCCTTCTAACTTAATGAAAGGATTATTATTGAAAATGTTCTGTAATTATAAAAAATGTTATAATCAACGAGCCTTAAATGATGTTCTAAAATAATTAAGACAACAAATCATTAACAAAGGCATCATACTTTAAAGTAAGCAAAATTTTAAATTTAATATTTTTCAAGATATATATAATATCAATTTATATATTTCATATATTTTTTTCTGAAATTGTTAAAGCAAGAACTATAAGATAATCCTACTGTTTTAATTCTCTATGCAGAAGATGGATAAATTATTGATGAATGTGGAAATAAGCTCAAATTGTCTATTATAATTAAGATCTTTCTTACATTAATAGAGAAGGCAAGCTATGTATTAAGAATTAATAATTAATGGGTTTTAGTAATTGCTATACAAATCCCATTTTCAATCCAATATAGATATCGAAGCAAATGTGCAAATTATTTATATACCTCTAAAATTTTAAAATCATCAAATAATTTAAGAAATCAATGTAAAAGGCATTGAAATATTAAAAATAATTATTTTAGTAAAATATTAATTTCCCACTACAAATTAAATTCTAATTTAAGTTTTCGTTTAATTTATTTAAAATCAATAAAAAGATTATATCATTTCTTATTCATAAAATTATATGTTTTTTAAATCTTAGATCTTCCTCCTTTGAAAATGAGTATAAAAAATCAAAATTAAAATAATTCAATAATGATTAACTGTAGTATTTCTTCAAAAAATTAGGCCAAGATACATTTTATCAATTTATATTTGCTAGAACTATTTTGTTAGTAATATGCTTAAGGTTTGAAGTACTGCAAGCAATCAATTTTATGATAATATAAATTAAAATTTTAATATAAAATGAGTAATACTTAATAAAAAATGATGAAAAATTAATTTCAAGTCCAACTTGGTGTTAATGTAATGATTATAATTATTTTTAAGAATGATTAATAAAAATTAAATTATCTCGTTTATAAAGGAGTAGGTGATAATTAAGGTAAAATTTATGGCTAAAAAAGTCATTTATAAATTAATTGAGAAGGTTACAAAATATAATTTATTAATTAGGATTTAAAAGATTGAAATAATTTTATTATTCTACAAATAATTAACAAAGTATCAATAATAATTTTTGTAAATTAATTCTATATGCAGCTTAATAAGTAAAAAAGAAATAAAAAAATTTGCAACTTAATTGTTTATGAGAATGCAAAAATATTAAGGTAGATTAAATATTAATGCAATAACATAAGTGATTTAACATGTTATAAGCATTTTAATCAGAAACTTCTATTGAAATGCATTTACAATAGCCTATTTACTTGATATCATTAAATAAAGAATATTTGGAAGACATTGATGACAACTCATATATTAATAAACTTTAGCTATAGGTACTTAACTAATAAATAATTAAAATTGTGAATTTGAAATCTACAATTTTGGCAGGTGAATGATGAAATTTTCATAATTACTTCATCCAATATTAAGACTCCTCATTTGAGTAAAATAGCTTTATTTTTTAAAATGGGTTACATAATTAGAGATAGAAATGTTTAAATACTTAAGATTAAGACATGAACATGATTTATAAAAAATGAAACATAGATATTTAAACAGATGGAAAAATAAAAATGAATTTGTTGATTAATTAAGAAATAAACTTGTTTATTCAAAATAATAATAAGATTAACAATAAAGATGAATATTTTGATTGAATTGGAATTATAAATATGTAAAAATAAGATGCTTTAAAATAAAAATATCTAAGTAGTGAAATATTGGAAAATGAATTATCATTAAAAGAAACATTTTTTAATTTATGGAGAAGTAGAAATAATAATAGTAGATATCTTAAATAAAGTTTTTCCAAATATTTAAATTAATAGTAGAATACCTACAAGCCCAATATAAAAATATACAAAAAGGTGTTATCATTTGAGAGAATAAATTAGGAGAAGTTAAAAAGAATTAGATAATCTGTATTATGGCATGAACATTAGATGAAGATTAATAAACAGAATGGGCTTAAAGGATAATTTTTATCACTAATAACCGCTGATACAATAAATCAATCTTTTCTGATAGAGAATGAATTATTGTAGTAGTATAATCCATAAAGATGGTAAGATTTTAATATTTAAGTAGCACTTAAAAACCTAAAAAGAAGATCCAATATAGCAATATGCAATCATAGAATAAAATCTAATCTTAAAGAACTTAGGAGAGATTTTTTATTTCAAATAGTTAAAGTATTCAATTTGTCATTTGTTTGGATATCAATAATATTGATAAGAGGTAAAAGCTTATTTAACTTTTAATTCTGGAAGTCTTAATCTTAATCGATTCTAAAATCATATTTTATTTTTCAAAATAAATATTTTTTAAGTTTTATTTTATATTAATTTCTGTTTCTCTTTTTTGATATAAAAATTAAAAATAATCAACCTCAGTTTATTAATTAATTTATTTATAATCAAATTCCAAACTATCTTAAGGCACAATTAAGTTAAATTAATTAATTGAAATTATTTAAAATGAAATTGAAGTGATACACTTTAATAATAAATAGTATTATTAATTTATATAAATAAAGAATTAATTTAAATTATATTAAAATCATATTTTTCATTTAATAATGAAAAATCATCAAAGAATTCACAATCTCCTAACTCATCAATTTTAAAATAGACATCCTAATTAAATAAATCTTTGCTGCTTGTAGTTTAGCTTCTAATTTAATGAAGTTGGATAATCTTCTAAATTCCATTTAAATTGTTTTTAATAGCTTTCACTTTACCAGCTTTAATTATATATGTCTAGGTTATATACCCTAATTAAGTAAAATCTATTAAGAATGATACATTCTAAAATGCATCTTTTTCTAAAACAATTAAATCGCTTCTCTCTTTTACGATTACAATTACTGTTCACTTTGAATTATTTCCAAAACATCACATTTACCCAACTGAACTATTTCTTTCTAAATAAAATAACTATTTTACAAGTTGTATAAAATTCTGGAATTCTGTTGGTCAATTATGTAAATTTTGACACTACCATTCAATATTATATAAATGCAGAAGTCAGGTTTTGTTTGGATATTACAAAAGGAATTTTATTTGCTAAAGAAGATATAATTTTGAAGCTATCTTAGCACTATCCTTCCAGATTTTAAAGTTCTTTATTCAATAGGTATTTATAA